TCTCCCTCAACTTCTGTTTCACCCCCAGCACCCCCAGGTCCTTCTCCCCAGGGCTGCTCGCCAGCCCTGCACCCCCAGCCTGGGCTGACACCAGGGGCTGCCCTGACCCAGTGGCAGGACCTTGCACTGGGCCCTGTTGAACCTCACGAGGTTCACACCCCCCACTTTTTGAGCCTGTCCAGGTCCCTCTGGATGGATCCCATCCCTCAGGAGTGTCTACCACACCACCCAGCTTGGTATCATCTGCAAGCTTGATGTGGGTGTACTCCATGGCACTCGAGGGTGCTTCTTGAGGGACAATTCAGCCCGGGCCCCCTGCTGTGACTGCCACTGCTCCAGGGGTCACGAGGGAGCTGGCAGGAGCTGGCAGTGACTGCTGGGAGCTGTGGTGCCTCCGTGTGTGGCCAGGCCCTGGACAAAGGGAGCCCTGTGGCACAGCAGGGAGGCTGCAGGGCCAGGTACCTTTCCGGATGAGGTACACGTAGCAGTCTGTCAGCAGGACGTAGAGCAGCTGCAGGTTCCCCTCCATGTGCCCGGTGCTCATGCGGATCATCTGTGTGGGAGGAAAGGACTCTCAGCCCCGAGGCAGGCGCAGAGCCAGGCCTCTGTGGGGCAGCAGTGCTGACCACCTCACCCTGAACAACTGCTCCTCGTTCTCCCGGAAGACGTGGATCATCAGCAGGAGGAGATGGTTGTTATCCACCCTGTGAGGAGAGACAGCAGAGGATGGACACAGACGTGGGGCTGGGCGAGCCCAGGAAGGGCAATCTACTTCATTATTGCACTAGCCCATGATGCAGGTGCCTGTTGGCCTGCCAAGACCTTCTCCTGACCCCGTGGGTGCCTTATCTTCATTCTGGAGAAGGATGAGCTTTGGCCCCCAAAACGAGGATTGAGGGGAGCACGGGAGGGTCTGTGGTGGCAGCTGGCTGCGGGCAGAGCCAGACAGGGGCTCTGCTCAGAGACCTTCTCCCTGCTGAGCCCACCCAGCCTCACCTGAACTCGGAGGGGTGGGTCAGCTCCGAGGGGCTGCCCTGCCCTTCCTCCACGCCCGAGTCCTCGGCGCTGCTCGGGGAAGGGCTGGGCTGCTCCTTCTTCGGCTCGTGGAGAGCCTGGGGGCCCGTGGTGTCTGCCTGGTCAGTCTGAGGCTCATCGCTCACCCCTCCGGACTCCTCTACTGCCCCAACGGCTTCTCCTTCTCTGGTTTCTTCTTTTTCAGGAGCCTCAGGGCCACCAGGAACATGTGGCGGTTGGCCATGCCCTGGAGGGTCATGGTGGCCACCACCTGGTGCAGCAGCGTTTGGACTCTCGACGGTAAAGCGGTAGAAGTCCATGGGGGCTGAAATCCCCTCGCTGAGGTCGCCAGAGGACGATCCATCGGGGGTCTCCCCTGGCGTGCCAGTCCGAAAGGGCCGCCCGGGGGGCTCGGGGTTGTGGCCCGCCGCGGGGGTCCAGCTGCCCGTTCAGCCTGTCCATCACCTTGCTGAGCGGCTGCCCCACGCTCCCCATGGACGTGTCCTTCATCTCGGGGATGCGTAAAGCCAGCTGGCCGAGGGCGGGGCGCTCGGGGCCC